GAACATAGCCTTCTGTCTATTGTTTCTTTAACACCACCATTTTACATGACACGGAAACTGTCTAGCAAATGATAATCAATACATTTAAAAATATAGCTGCAGTTAAAAAAATTTCCAAGGAAACGCATATTTTTTTAGCAAAGCAAAATCATCTAAAAATGTGCAGATAGCATCTGTAATCCTCAAATATCTTCCCGTTTTACAAAAGAATGTAGCCTTGCATATTTAACAGTTGAGTAATGAGTCATGAGCATTTTGTTATCTGGTTCCTTTTTGCTGTATATGGGTCCACATATATGGTCCCATATATACAGCACATATCGGACCATGCACATGCACTCTTTTGCAAAAACATCGAAGCTCCAAGAAGGACGTTTGCGATTGTGACGAAATTTGGTATCAAAAACATCTTGGTCGACCATGCAAATGATCAAAGTTTCAAGGCAAATGAACAGGAATTGATATCATAGCGAGCATTTATAGTGCGCATTTCGCAAAGTATAAAAACAGTAACAGAAACTGAATGTTTATCTTTTTTTGTTGCTGCCATTGTAATTCCGTAAAGAAGCAACTAAAGATGCCATTACGACGATATAGAAAACCTTACAGACAACTAAACGAACAACAACTAAACGGCAACTTCGAAGACAACGACTTCGAACGTTGTCGCATTTTAGGGCTGCGTGAAGCTGAGTGGTCATACCGAGCAATAGGCAGCCACCTGCAGCGAACAAACACTGCTGTCCAAAGACGTTGGCAGCAACAGTTGCTACAAGAAAATTGCCGACGAAATGAAGGCTCTGGAAGGCCAAGGAATGCAAATGCGAGGTAAGATAGGAAGATTGTTCGCTAGGCCCGAACCGGCCCAACGGTATCATTGACGACTATTCAACGCACTGCAGTCATGTCTATACCTCCCATGGTGCCGTCCGTCAACTCACGATGCTTGTCTGAGGCGGGGTTACGCTCACAGAGGCCTTTGACCTTTCCTTTGCCTTTGATCCCACAAAATCGGCGGAGTCGTCTGGAGGGGGTGTCGCAGCCGAACACAATGGCTGCCATAAGACTGACATCGTATAGTGTTCAGCGATGTATCCCGCTTCACTATTCAAGCAGATGACTACCGTGTTCGTGTCTGGAGAGGACGGGGCCAGCGGTTCCAATCAGCCTTTGTTTTACAAAGGCATATAGCCATAACCCCTGGTGTGATGGTGTGGGGCACTATTTCTTATGAGAGCAGGCCATCTTTAGTCATCCTCCGTTTACCTTTAACAGCTCAAAGACATATTAATACCATCCTGCGGCTGGTTGCATTACCCTTCATGGCACGTCATCCTGGGGCCATTTTCCAACAAGATAATGCCAGGCCACATACCGCTCGCATATCTCTGGACTGTCTCCGTGTGGTTGATACTCTTCCTTGGCCAGCAATGTCACCAGACTTTTCACCAATCGAACATGTCTGGGACATGGTAGACCGCCAAATTTGGGCACCACAAAATATCGCAGATCTGGAGCGGCAACTGTTGAATGCTTGGCAGAATGTGTCGCAGGATGATATTAGGAACCTCTACCACTCCTTTCCTCGACGAATTCAAGCATGCATTGCCGCCAGGGGCGGCGACCAACTCCTAATTTGAACAATGGGTGATTGCGATCCGCGAACAGGTACTACGACCTTGATTTTTTAATCATTTTATTATCTGTGTATGAGCTATGCACATATTCAATTTAATCAAAAACAACCACTTCCATGGTGCTTCGATTTTTTTGCAATATATAGCATTGGTCCCATATGTGCCCCATTGGCCCATTAACCCGGACGGGGTATTAGTCTCGAAACGGGATCTGGCGGCGTATCACTTTAAATGTCAGAATCACTTTTCAAATTATTGCGACGAAATACTATAGCCCTTTATTGCTTTTAAAGAAATTAAATAATGAAGAATCTGCATGAAAGTACGTATGTTTCTCGCAGTGTGAAAAAACGATGGTACCTAGGGGGCCATCAAATTCTAAATAACGTAGTCCTCCAGCCGAATATGTATGCCTGGAAGATCGAATTTTGAATTCCGAATTTTATATTTCATAATTTGTATAACTTTAAGCAATTTTAAACAAACTCAGCGATTTGAAAGCGAGTGCCACTACTTGGTACGAACTCGCCAATACTCTACGGGTTAAAATATTGTTATATCCAGCGCACCAGACTGTATATCGGAAATTCTACTAAAGGCATGCTGTTTTTAAGTATTTTATAATTTTGCTATTCAGCTGAATTTTATGTGACGTAAGAGCGAATAACATGATATTTAATTAATGAATTTAACACACAAAACGTTAATAATAAAAAGAAAAATAAATCAAGCCGTCTTGCAAAGAAGACTGTACATTGATATGATCAATTGAAAAAAGACTAAATAGAAAAAAGCATGCCAACACTTAATACTTCATCGGGAATTCTAAACATATGATGCTTTTGAATTTTTTGTAATTTTGCTGTTGAATTGTATACAGCGTAAGTGCGAAGAAAATAATGCTTTAAATTAAAGCTAAAAAGACAAAAAGAAATGGGTTAGTATGGGTGAGTGCTACAGCAGACTGGTTAGATTGCGAACTGAGCGAGAGCGTAGAAAACCCTTAACAAACCCATTTAGGGGACCATTAAAACCTGATTTTTTTTTTTTCCTTTTTTTTTTTTTTTTAGAAATTTATTTATTGAGTTCTCCATTTTATTGAAATCGAAATTGTTTGAATGCATGACACGTGCTGAGCTGCATCAATACATAAAGTTGTTTCGTATTGTAGTACTCCATAAGGAATTGCGGTAATTGGAAATTTAAGTGATGAACACCGTTGAACACCGTGGGCTGTAAAAGTCAATCCACCCACTGGGTTAATGGGCCTGGATGCACACATGGGGTGGATTGACCACATTTGGGCTAATATGCATAGAATTTTCACCAATGGCTGCATTCGTTAAATGCAAATTAATGAAACTTTATACATATTACGCCATAAACATTATTCATAACAAAACAAAATAATTTTGTATAATCCTCTGTTTAACGCTTCAAACAGAACTTGTCAAGGGAGACGTGTTTTGAAGCCTTAAACCATTTTGATTAATGAGTTAAAAATACACTTTTAGTTTCTCTGAATCATTTGAGATTGAAAATCGCTTTTAAGTATCAAACTTTCATTTTTAAAGCAAAAATCTAAAAGCTCTCGAATATTCAGGTCTTTTCCCTACATGCATTCGTATCCCAATTAAACCAATAATTTTATACAAATGCTAAAAAATAGTAAACGAACCTAAAAAAGGCCTAAAAATACTCCATTGGTCAGATACGCCATTGGGTGAGATCGTCAATAAGCGGCGAAAATTCGTTGCTTTATTTCGAGAAATTTTTATACGTTATTTAAAAGTGCATGTCTAGGATCAATATTTGAGGAAATAAATTATGTAATCATTTTTTAAAAATATCCCACGTAAAATCAAACAAAAGAATTAATTGTAACAAAGATTCAGAAATAAATTTTTAATAATAATTTCTGCTATCAAAGAATGCTTCTAAGTTTGGTAATATTGAATGGAACTTCGTGCATATTGAATTTATGACCTACTAACTTTACGCTTGGCTTCATTCGCGTTAACGTCCTTAAATAAGTTTCAACTCCGCGTGAATTTTAAAAATACACTCCGCGTAAAATTTCAAAATAAAGAACATTCGAGCGCCTTAAAATCTGGTGTGTGGTGTGGTGTATTTAATTATGGTAAAGCACACTAGGGCTATCTGCCTAAGGGAAGGGATGCCTTCGTAGAGGACTTTCTGAGGGAAGCTGGCTTGTATACACGTTACACACGGGGAAAACCACGAAAACACCCATGCAGAGCCCGTCCGCGGGATTCGAATCTCGGACCGAACTTCCAGTGTTCAGCGACTTTACCGCTCGGCCGCTGGTGGGCGAACGCCTTAAAATGATAAAACAATTTTTTTTTATCGCACACAGTAAAATGTAAAGAATATAAAATGAAAATGCAATTTTTCAAGCAACAATAACAGAAATATGTAACTCTAATAAATAGATCTTAAAAAATACGAAACAAAACATTAGATATATCACAAAAGTTGAAATGTTGATAATAGTTTCAAGTCGGTAAGTTAATTAAAAGTTATTAATTTTAAAATGATTTTCCACGTGTAAATCAGTGAGCTTTGACCTTTTCGCCAACCTAATGGTCGACCGGATACCAGCTCCCCCTCTCTCCTTCTCTTTCGATTCGCAACCTGTCAACAAAGAGTTAACAATAGCAAGCGGAGTATTGTTTCCTCTGCGATTAAGCTGGAAATACTTAAGCGACAAAAACTGTTACACTACCATCGTTCATATCATTCAGAAAGCGACACAAGTTACTAAATTTCTAGAAATTTGGATAATTAGATCAAAAGTTGTAATTTTTATCACCAATTTCTTGATCCCGCACGGGAAGCCTCAAGAAAAAATCCCTAATGTCGCTAATGAGTCGCATTCAAATTAGCGGTTTCAGAGTTTTTAATTAGTATATCAGCTGATTAAACTCGTACGAAGATAAGAATGGTATCGATGGATTCCGACTAATTTTCGGAATCAACGAATATGTGTCTCGAAATTCAACTAACCGCCATTCCATAGATATTTGTGAAAATATAAATTGGCGTGTAGACAAATCCCTTTAATAGGGAAAAACCCAACAAAGTAAGTGAAAAATGTAGGGGAAAAGTAGTTTTTAATTAATATGTCGGCTAATTAAAGTCGTACGAGGACATTTTATAGCCTATAACCTTTCATAATATATCAAAAATATTTCTTGAAAATTTCATGATGATCGGTTGAGTAATTAAGGCGTGAAAGCGTAACAAACACACAAACTCACATTCGCATTTATAATATTAGTAAGGATTCTTTGTAGTTTTATTATTTTCCCACGAAACACTATAATATATTATTCTTACCTCATGTTCATCGTATATTTCAGACATCTAGACGAAAGACTGGATGTTGTTGAAGGAGAGCTGCAAGGTGTGAGCAATTCTAGTGCCATTTTGAGGTTAGAGCAAGAGGTCGAGGCACTTTCAAATAAACTGCACTTCTTGAATTCCTCTCTTGAAGATATGTGGCGCCTTAAGGAAGCTCAGCTTCATGAAACGGTGAGAGCAAACAGAAGAGAAGACTTGCAGGAGTTAGAAAATGGCCTTAACTACCTGCGGAAGGAGGTTCTGGTACTTCAGAGTAATTATTATCATAACTATTAAAATTAACCTTTCTTTTAAAATTAGGTTAAGTATTATAGTAATTAAAATTACTTATTTTTATTTATCGCTTAAAATACTAATAGATTCTTCGGATGTATAACCGCCGTAGTATAACCGATGTATAACCGCCTGTAGCTTTGCTACAGGAAAATATAATGATATGATGGAAAGTTATTAAGTATTTAAAATATAATGATATGAAAAGTTATTAAGTATTTAAAATATAATGATATGGAAAGTTATTAAGTATTTAAATTATTATAAAATGATATCTATTACTGCCAGATAGTATTACCTGAAAAATGAAAATCAAGAAGTGTCTTAAAGGCATATGCTCCCTTCGTGATGGAAAGAATATCTATTCTGTAATTTAACTTCTACCATAATCTTTGAGATACGTAATTGCTGCAATCGTCAGCTCCGATACATCATCGGAAAAGGCAACTTTAATCTTTTGTTCATGATGTAATTCTGTAACATGTAATCGTTCGCATGAGGTTGTTGTGCTGCTGTTGTGACTTATCTAACTTGTCTGACAGTAACATCAGAGCAAGCCCACGAAATTCATCGTGGCAAGTAGTACAAGATTGGGCCTGTCGTTCGCAAGAGCCTTGAGCACAGTACAGGTGACAGTACGACTCTGATAAGTTTGCCTCCCGTTTTGATGAAGAGCACCCTGGGAGGGGGGAGGAGACGGGTCCGAAGGTCCCACCCCTCTTACCCTACCACCAACTTCTCAAGAGGACTTTCGGATCTCCGCATATTTAGTGTGCCCCATGCCGCATAGACACTATACATTTACAAACATCCATGCCTTTTCTGGGATTCGAATCCGGACCCTTCGGTACGGCAGTCAGTGTTCCTAACCACTCTGCCGCTTTGGCTTGAAAGCGAATGGTAACTGTGAATCTTCATACCTCTGCCGCTTTGGCTTGAGAGAGAATGGTAACTGTGAGTGTGGGGCGGAGGGTCATCCAGACTATTTTGTGTTCTCCTGCCCACACACACAGCACTTAGCAGCCTTAAGCAACCAGGAGGGAGATTCTGTCCAAATTGGTTCTAGAGTCTAACAAAGTAACAGAGTTGCCCAGCGGAAACTGAAAACAATAATTGACTACTGTACTAGCAATTACTCTTCTGACGCTGGAAGATAGTAGCCATAAAAGTCTATATAAGCTAGTTAAATATGTCAGCAACATAGTATGTGATATGTAAGTTCAATGTGTCATTTTGTATTTATGCTATGCCAGGTTTTCATACACAAAGTTCGCGTACCTCATTGGCATGCTTCATGTAAACTTTAACTATCACGATAACGTATATGTATAGATGTATATATTAATATGAGTATGTATACTTTTATTTGTTTCGGAATATATATGTAAGTATGTGTGTATATATCTGTATCTGAGTTGGTATTTATATGTATATACATACATTTTGATTGTACACTTCTTGAAGTGCCTTGTATGCACATGTATATTTCTTTGTACATTGTTTTCTTCAAGTGCCTTGTATACACATGTATATTTCTTTTTTTGCATTTTATAAATGTCGTATGCTCAGCCTGGGCTGCCCAGGGCTGCAGCCTGGTAGCTAGTGGTTGACTCCCACCGAGTTGGTAACCAATTCTGCATGGATATATCTATACCTGGGTCGGAAGTCAACTCAGCGGTCTACTCTCTAGTCACTATCCCGATTTGGCGGCCTATGACCCTGTTACACTGATAAACAAATCATGGCTCTGTTTCAAATAGCTGGTGCATACAAATGAACTCCAAAAGTTGCGGGTATTTAAGATAAAAAATTTAAGGTATCAAATTTAAGGAAATTTCAAATTGAAGGTATCATAGTAGGAGACTATATAAATAGCCTTACGTAAAGTGACTCATTACTTTAAATGTCGCGTATTAACATCAGCTAAGAGAATGGCTAAGGCCGGAATAGTCATTGGCAGAGCTGAACGTAAACTTCAGGCATCGCTGCCAAGAATTCTACATCTAAAACATTCAAGACCCTCGACTTAACACTTTTTAATCTAGCTTGTATTCTGGTGAGGTACGGAATGGAGAAGTAAAGCCTTAAATCATAATAATTGGTAAGATAACTTAAAATATTCTATAACTTCTGAAAGATTTTGCGCTTTGCAGTGAAATAGGATGGCTTATCACATTTTTCCAGTTCCTCCTCAATTTTGACAGAAAGCACCCCGAGGAATGGGTCCGAGGGTCTCCCCCCTCTCCCCCCCCAAAAAAACCACACGAGAATCATCCTTTAAGCTTCGTCATATATTTAGAGTGATCCCAATTTGCAAAGAAGATCCAAATTGCCCACTATTCCAGTTGGGCAGTTTCGAACGGTCGTAAAGACATTATACACTGAATCTTCATTTCAATCATTTAATAAAAAGCTGTTTTAAATTGAGTGAATATGATCCAAAAATGAGAGATGTATTTGTTATCCTGAAAAAGATCCTTGCCGTTTTATCATGTCCTGTAGATAACCATCTCTTAATAATAACGAGGTAATTACCCCTATTCATATTGTGTCCTTGCCCAAGAAAAACAACTGTGCATGTTCCCGTTAGGTGTTGTACAGAATGCCGGGAAGAAAAAATGCTAAAGCTTAGTTTAGCATTTTTTAGTTTAGCTCAGCCTTTCAAAGGGCATTTATAGTTCTTTTGCAGCACATATTATTTAAAAAACATTGTAAAAAGAGAATGGATAGCTTTTCGTATTATATAAGCTGTTAGTAACTGTGTGTTTAATATACCATTGAAATGCTTTTAGAATTTTTTTAATTTTATGTAAAAGTAAATCTCAAGGCATTTTCTTACACATTTTATTTTCAGACAAATCAGTTTTCTTAGACACGGCCATCCTAGCTGAAAAGGATCGAGAATTCGAGCAATCGTCATTGCTCAAGAACCTTAGTGTCGAAACGGATGCCCTGAAATCTGAAATGGACAGGCTTCTTAGCGTTACGTCCAAGTTGCAGACTTACCTGCAAATATTGTCAGCAGACCTGGCTTCTATTGAAAATCGTTTCGAAAACCTCAATGAAGCAGTGTCTTCCGGACTGTATCTCCAAGGTTTGAGATATAACTTTTCTTAATTTTGGAATTATATTTAATATCATATATGTGTTGTTTCTGTAATATATGATTACATTTTTATATGTGATTTATCTCACTTCTCTGACAGCAACATCAGAAGAAGCCCACGCGATTCATCGTGGCAAGGATTGCATGAATACCCTTGCCGTTGGCACCAGCCTTAAGCACCATAGAGGTGGCAGTACGACTTCTCCTAATTCCGCCCCCAATTTTGATGAAGAGCACCCCGTAGGGGACGTGTCCGAGCGTCTCCTACCTTCAACTTATCGAGAGGATTTTCAGCTCGCCGCATATTTAGAGTGCCTCCATGTCGCACAGAGTGGCTAGCGCGTCGCGCAGCTGCACCACAGGACGGGGCTTGATTCCCAGGCTGTGCAAGGTTGTCTCAGGCTTTCATCCCTTCAATTCAATAAATTGCCTTACGTAAAGTGACTCAATACTTTAAATGTCGCGTATTAACATCAGCTAAGAGAATGGCTAAGGCCGGAATAGTCATTGGTCATCGTCCGTCGCTGCCAAGAATTCTACATCTAAAACATTCAAGACCTTCAATGGGTCGATGGGTCGATCAATGGGTCGATGAGTTCCAAGTTCGCTTGTGGACTAAATCACCGGCGGTCCTGCGACACTCTGACCACTTACCCAAGGCATATGCTGATGCACTCCGGAGCCCAAGGTCAAGAAAGCAGATTTCGGGGCACTGCAGCTCACTAGAGCTGTTGCGCCACTGAATTTAGTTGTCCATGCCGCACAGACACTACGCATTTACAAACACTCATGCCTTTTTTGGGATTCGAGCCCGGGCCTTCCGGTACGGCAGTCAGGGTCAATAATCATATTGGAACGAAAATATCCATTTTGACCGCCCTAATATAATGCCAGCCCAAACCATTACACTTCCAGCACCTTAAGATCATTTTATCCTGATGAGGGAGGTTGGTATCGAGTTCCAGGCTCTTTCCAAATACAGCTACGCCGAGAATAAATGTCCAGGCTGAATCACGAATAATCTGTCAAAAGCAAGGTGCTTCACTGAAGTCTGGTCCAAGGCGCATGTCATCTGCACCATTCTTAACTTTCTCTCTTATATTCTGCATTACGCACACAGTGGATCTCCAGGCATACAGCACTATCTCATGAAACCTTCAGACAACTGTAGAACGTGATACTTGTATTCCAGTAGCAGCAGAGAGCTCATGTTAAGAGCTGTGAAGCTATAGCAATCAAGTGTGGACTCGCTGAAAGTGCCAAATAGCGATCCTCATTTGTCGTTGTGGATTTTGGTCGACCTTGCTCAGACCTTTGTGATATGGGTCCAGTGTCCTGAAACTGTTTCCAGAAATTGCAGCTGACACTGGGCTTAGCCGTATGAGCTTTTGATAGGCCTGCCATCAGTCTGTCGACAAGTCTTCCTCTCATTCCGTCATCAACAAGTTCGAAGCTAATTATTTTTCTTACACATTATAAGGGTTATTTTAGTTTTCTAACAGTTATTTTAAATTTTGAAACCCTGTCCTTCAAATTTTTGTTTTCCACTTACAATTCCGTACCAAAATGAGCTTTTAATGTTGCGTTACATGTAAATGAGGTAGAAAGAGTACGTAAAGGAAGTTTGGCTTACTTCAGCAGAAGAGCTTAGGAGTCCTTAGTGGTGCGTGTTTTCCGTCAGGTTGTTTCGTTGTTAAGCTCACTACGCTTGGACGTATGTGCTATTGCACGTACGTACGTGCCTACTGATATTTGCTGGTTAATTTAGTCAAGAGCCAACTCTGTTAGGTAATTGTGTATAGCTTCGGCCAAGTCAGTTTAATTTATCATTATATTATATTAGATTCTTATTTTCTTACCTTGAGTTTAAGGCCCAAGTGGAGGCTTTCCTGTAAGCCTAAAAAGGGGCCGACAGTCATTTTTTTGTGTGAATAAAAGGGTATATTAATCCTTGTCCTGACTTTGTCGTTTAGAGACTTGGACTCAGCGATAAGGCGCTGAATATTTCAGTAAGTTCCATTACATTCAGCATACACAAAGTAATTAGGAACATTACAACCTTATAACATTTACATAACCCTTGTAAGAAACATGGCGAATGTCGTAAAGGAGAACGGACACACAATTCACCGAAAGGCCCTCGTGTGCTTATATCATCTCCGTAATGACCGCTCCGCAGGCATGCACATGTACGCTTACATGCATATTTGCATAATTCGTTGGCGTAATTCGTATCTTTCCTTCAATTCTTTTCTTTCTATTAGATATAATTTGAAAGTTCTCTCCATTTTGCACACGATTACATGCAATTGATTGTATTCCACCTAAAATATAATATTTACGAACATTGCATATGCATATACTACATGGCTGTTCATTTTAAAGAAGTTGAGAGTAATGAAAATTTATAATTTACTAGAACATGCAATTTTCTGTTTTGTTATTTTGAAGCAGAAAGCAGGAAAATGATAAAACATCCTAGTATCTAATTCAGAAGTCAAACAACAAAAATCAGCGTTATATTTTCAAATTTTCACAGGACTAGTTTCGATGGTTTTATCGAACCACCATCGTCAGCTGCAAAAGCGCAAATGAACGAGATAGGATATAATGATCAGATAAGATAAGAAAGCCTGGACAGAAAATAAGCTAGTGGTGCCATCGGTTGATGAAAACAGAACTAAAACATAATTTCTTTAAAGGCCGAAGGCAAAGATGGATTGGAATTAGGATCGTTAACTAGAACAGAAAGATTTTTTGAATGTGAAATGCCTCTAGAAAATCCAGTTCTCCAATGGAAGATGTTTTTTGAATAATTTTGGCAGCAGAAAAATTGAAAGTGTGATTTTCGGACCAACAATGTTGGGCAACAGAAGACTTCTGTGTTTCCTTTTTCCTAACATATGCCTCATGTTCCTTGACGCGAAATTTTAAGGCTTTCTTAGTTTCGCCAATGTAAATTAAATCACACTGGCAAGGAATCCTATAAATACGCCAGGAACTCAAATCCGGAATGGGGTCCTTGAGTATGGAACTCGGAATTTTACTGATGGGAGAATAAACGACCCGAAAGATTTTCTTTTCATCAATTAGCTATAAAGTTGCACATATTTTGCAGAAATTTAACTTTCGGGTCGTTTATTCTCCCATCAATAAAATTCAATTTTTCTGCCAAAATTATTCAAAAAACATCTTCCATTGGAGAACTGGATTTTCTAGAGGCATTTCACATTCAAAAAAATCTCTCTGTTCTAGTTAACGATCCTAATTCCAATCCATCTTTGCCTTCGGCCTTTAAAGAAATTATTTTTAGTTCTGGTTTCATCAACAGATGGCGCCATTAGCTTATTTTCTGACCAGGCTTTCTTATCTTATCTGATCATTATATCCTATATCGTTTATTTGCGCTTATGCAGCTGGCGATGGTGATTCGGTAAAACCATGGAAACTAGTCCTGTGAAAATTTGAAAATATAACGCTGATTTCTGTTGTTTGACTTCTGAATTAGTATTTGTTCGGTGTGTTATTGTGTCTTAATCCTAGTATCTATTACAAGAATATAGAGATAGAATATAAAAACTACTTTTTCTCGTTATCCGATTTTCCATTTCCTTGTACAAAGTAAAGGAAGTATTGTAATCACGAAAATTTTTCGGCTATCAGATTTGAACGGAAATATCAAATTTATCGTTCCCGGATCCATTTTGACATTTGTTTTGTGATTTTTGTAACTATGGAATTAATTTAGGTAAGGATTTCTTTGTAATTATGTATCAGCATTATGTGTTTAAGTGTTTGGAATCAGATATCAGTTTTACTGAGTAAGGTGCTGTACTTTTCTGTTTATGTTCATTTTAAGTCCGTATTTATTACTTCTCTACATGTATTATGAAAGTCAGTTCGTACTTGGCTAAGATTTAGACTACATAACATTACTTAATGATCAGTTTTATGTATTATGTTTATCAGTTTTAATTTTCATGTATTACCTATGCACTTGTAAGTGCTATGTATTCAGGTATTAGAGATCAGCTTTCTGTATTTCTGCACTCAGTATCATGTTAATTTTTCACTTTAATATTCAGTTTTGTGTGTATGTATTATCCTCTCTGCAAGTACTACGAAAGAAAATGTAGATGCATGGTTCAATTTGTAAAATAACTCCAGTTTAAGTTTGTGCAAAGAACTAAATTATGGAGGAATTTGGTTATTTGGTGATAACAGGTACACAATCTTTTACATGTTCTTACAGTTTACTATGTGCAATAATTTAATAGGTTACGTCTTTACAAAAGCCCAATAAATATCTGACAATTGTGTCAGGATTAGCATCCGCATGCAGACATTTAGCAAGTCCAGAAAACCCACGGCAGTTAATTTTTCAGGCAGACTCCTCCTTTCTTTACTTTATCTAACACAAGTTTCTGTCTATTCTAACAGCATTCTCCACAGTCTTTTGATTGCTTCTTTGCTTACTTTTAAGTAGTCCCTAACAGCATACTCTTTCCTGGAATAACAATATTCAAGCTTACATGTAGACTTTATGAGGCTCTTAGCCGTCTATTCGGCTTCGTTCCCGGAGCAGGGTGGAACAAAGAGTAGATGGTTTCTGCTAGGAATATAACACACTGTGAGGCTAAGGCCAGGTCAGTGGTCTTCCTTGGTGGCGCTCACTCACGGACAGGATAAAGGGCTCTTAATTCCAAACGGACCATGAAATGGATTCAATATGGAATTTTCTGTAACGTCTGTACGTATGTCCTACCGTACGTACGTCTCGCATAACTCAGAAACGATTAGTAGCATAATGTTGAAATTCTGTATATGGGACTGCTATAACACCTCCCTCTTCAGACTATTTTTATACTATGCTATAAAATCTCCTTGTGCATCTCTGTATCTCTGTTTTTTTTTTTTTTTTTTTTTTTTTTTTTTTTTTTTTCCTAGTGGAAACTGTTCAAGCCAGTTTCCATTAGAAAGTCCTCCTGGAAGGCATCCCTTTCTTCTGTGTAGTGCCTTAGGGTGGAACACTTGAACAATAATAATCTATCGTGGACGGTTTTAATGTATTAGTTGGCGGCTTGTATATTACTTAGCTCATCGTTTGGCTCCAGGTTAGCAAACTTGGATAATTCATTGCTGATTTTAACATTTTGGATGGTTTTTTACATATCGAATCCTACATTACAGTAAATTAAAGTAAAATCCTGCCCTGTTGCTGCAAAGATAATATTGATTTAGTAAAGTAATAGAGAATGTAAAGGAAATTATCTCCTAAGAAATTCGAAATGTAATTTAGAAAGAAAATCTGCACAATTGTGGTAATAATTAATTGTAATTTGTAAATAAATAGACTGGAATTTTCAATTAAAATGTATCAGAAAAGAATAAAAAAAAAAGAATTATTCCTGATTTGGTAGAAAGATCCTGACATATCAGTGAGAATTGGAACCATACAACCATTAAGAATTAAAAAAAAGCGTGTTCCATCATCTCGCGTACTTGAACAAATTCCTTTTCAAATTTACATTTCTAGTTCAGTTTTAGAATATTCGAATTACACCTTATGTTTTCAGATACGTGAGATAATTCCCCGACGGACGGACAAACTAATAATTACAACTGTATTCAAAAATAAACATAACAGTCATACAGAACAATGCCTAAAACAAAAATAAGACTAATTTCATTTGATTTCAATTTTTATTATTTTTAGTACGCATTCTCTATTACTTTATTATAAACATGTACATGTACATAATAATCAAATAAATAAAATGGGAATACTCCTATCAAAAATGCCAATTAAGTAAAAACTAGGAATTACAATTTGAAGTTAACATTAATTTCAATCAACTAAGTCTTTTAAGTACCAATTCCTAAAAGTACAAAATTAGAAAATTAAAAAATTAAAAAAAAAAAAAAAAAAAAAAAAGATAAAAAAAGATAAAAAACAAACTACCTTGTTGCAATCATATAAGATTTCTTTTATTAATAATGCCTCTAACAAAAGTGCCTATAGCCTATCTTGTTTATATTATTTTTGATTGGAAGAGTTTAAATATAATTAAATGAGCCGACGAAAAAAGCAAAACAAAACAGACAAAAAAAATCTGAAAGCTTTCAGATTTTATATTACGCCCAAAGAGGAGTTTTTGACGGGGGTACAAAACGGGATTTGATAAAAACATTCAAAGTCATTTGACGCAAAATACCGTTAGACATTGTAACGTCTTTTCGTTCTATGTTACCAACATAATACCATTAAGAAATGTAAAGAAATCCCGTGCATAAAATATCCGTGCTTGAAGATGATCGCGCTGTTAATGTTATGGAATATTTCGAAATCGTTGAGTTAGTTAATAAAACATTCGCTAACGTTTTACAAAATATGAAATAGATAATGAAACAAATTCCAAATTTATGCTTACATGTGCTCTTATTCAAGTAGAGGACAATGTTATTCAGAATTTGGTGCCTCTAGGTGCCGTTGATTTTTCACAATGCAAGAAATATACATATATTCATGCAGGTTCTTCATTATTTAATTTCTTTAAATGTAATGCAGGGCTGTAATATTCGGCGGCAACAATTTGAAAAGTAATTCAGACTTGTATAGTGATCCAATACAAAATGCCAAAACGAAATTAATAACCCTTCTGGGTTAACGCCCATTTGGGCTAATAAAAAAAATTTTAAATATAAATTTTTTGTACACCAGAATGTAAAAGAAAATCGTCCTACTTTCCTTTTCTTTATATATATATATTATCGTTTGTCATTTTTACTTTAATTAGTTTATATATATACATATATATGTATGAGACGTACCAGCTTTAGTCCGGAATAAATAGATTGGTGAAGAAGTATAGCCGTAGTTTAAATTATCAGACGATAAGTTTAAAAAACAGGATCCATTTATTATTGGTCGGGAGAAATAGCAGTTACAAAAATCCTATTTCCGGAGTAAATAAAAAAGAATTACTAATAACTTTTTGTATGAAGTTTACTGCATCGTTACATTAAAGAAAAGACACCGATATTCCTTTGAGAGTCCTTTTATAGCCTCTGGAAAGGCGGAGCTTCCAAGAAATAACGTCAGCCATTCCAAGTCGCTTTAAATATCTCCAGAACATTCTATAACTGTACGTGTAGAAAAGGCGGGAAAAACAACTTGACTTCGGGGCTGTGGATTTAATTCCACGTACTTTCAAATAAGAGACCGTCGCCATTAAAAAATGAAAAGAACATACAGTTAGAATTTTAAGTGTATTTTTGACTATGGAATTTATTATTACATATATAATATATATATATATATTATTTACTTAATACTGCAAGAGCAGTTTACAGCACTTTAATAACTTTTTAAATTCATTCTTTTGCTCTAAGTAGAAACAATATCATAGAACGTAACATTTTAAACAATATTTTCTATCTATAGATACGGAATCAAAGATCCAAAATTTAACAGAAGAATGGCGAAATGCACTAGCCTTCTTAGCCGCAGAAATAGAAGAGCTAAAGCAGCAAACAGCTCAATCTCATGACACGACACTTTGGAAGAAGGAAGATGGAGAAGAAGACATTGATTTAGATATATCTAGGCTGAGAATTGGAGGTAAATATGCTCATATTTAAGCAATGCATGATTCATATTCCAAACAATCTAACAAAATTCCCTTTTCAATCAAAATTTTAAATAACGCCAGACATTTCTAGCTTAATGATATAAGTCAAGGTAATATTATTATAATAATTTTTTACTAACCGAATTTAAAATGTAACATAACTATTTAAAATTTTATCTTTAGCTCCTTCTCAAAATATGTAAAATCTCATACTTGTATTTAAGGAAACATTAACTATTTAAATTATTATTAAAGTTAAGTTAAATATTTTACTATTCTAAAACTAAGCGTTTTAAGCAGGAATATACTTCTCTAGTTCCTATTCAAAATATATGAAATCTTTCAAGACAGGCGAAGGATAGAGTTTGAAAGTTTAATGAATATGACTTCTAAATTACGAAATTTTAATGAATATTTAATTATGTTAATTTAGAAAGGAATGTTTTATAAAGCATACATTTAAAATGGGGAATGGACTAAGTTTCAGTATTTTATTATAGGTGTCGCTTGGGAAAGTGTTAAAATTTCCTTTTAATATTCAGCGTCGTATAAGAATTTGCATATATAATTTACGACTCCTTAAATTTTGAAAATCGGTTCATTATTTTCCGAGTTATAAGCTAAAATGTGCGAAATCGTCTTATTTTGCAAACATAAATATACATATTTTATGAACCTCATTCAGTCTAATTAAAAAAAATTAAAAATTCATTTCCATGGAATGTTTTCTGCCAAACCTGAAGTGAAGACGACACCCGTGTGCTTTGCCTTACGTTAAATAATCAAATGCGATCCAAAACTTTCATTCCAAAAGAACTTCAAAACATAGACTATCATTTTAAACTATCAAGGACTATCATTTAAATTTAGTTTTTATTTTTCGTCTTCATAGAAGTATTTGCATATTATAATTTGTGGCGATTTAATTTTGTTCTGTCTTCACATAGTATATAAATATACTTTTTTTTTGCCGGATTGCAAAGTACCCCTGAGACTCTGATGCCTTGCATTAATAAGCATTGTATATTTAGGCTTTATTGATTCTTTTTTATTTGGTAATTTTTTTCTTACAATATCAAGCTTAATTTTTACAATAAATTATCATATTTTTTTCATTTTATTTTTCATTCATACGTTTTGTATTTACATTTTCGACTAATATTTTCACTTTTTTTCTGTTCACTGAACTTTTCGAGTATCTAACATCTGTTGTAATAAGTACATGTGACACAGTAATAAGCAATCGTAAAGATTTGCTGTTTCTGGTCCAAGATGGTGCTGTTTCTGGTCCAAGACTTTGAAAAGTGGAAATTTTTGACTTCAGTGTTGCAGATTAAGGGATTTCGGATGGAGAGACAGTCTATCTTCATTCTTTCTGTCAAATTGCCATCGAATCAAGACATGAACCGTTCCAAGACCTCAAAAGGACGATGCCAACTCGATGTCATAGCTCTTGTAGTATTGAGGGACTACGATAATCTCATGGTGGTGTTGACAAGAGTGATATGTTGAAATCTTTGTACAACAGAAATAGGAAAAAAAAAGTGGCACCACCCCTCTTTTTTAATTCAGTTTTGGAAATCACTCTTTTTATTCACATAGTGTGTATTGTGACTGGTAGAGAAACCAAAGAGTACAGGAAGAAGGCAAGCTTTCGTAGACATAATGTAAACCAGCCTCGTTCGCTTCAGGCGACTTTCGAATCGAAGTCAGTATGCATTGAAGCAAACGCGCAGGATGCTGGCGAAATTCATTCTACTTGAAATGCTAGTTAAGTATGAAGCATAAATCTGCTATTTGAAAATTAGTTTTTGCTCTTATTTATATACGATTCTTTTTTTATTTAACAGACTAATTTTTTGAATTTTTTCTAATTTTTCTAATTTTTTGAAATATTCTCATTTTTTTCTGTTAACTGAACTTTCCGAGTATCTAACATCTGTTGGAATAAGTGCATGTGACACAGTAAGAAGCAATCGTAAAGATTTGCTGTTTCTGGTCCAAGATGGTGCTGTTTCTGGTCCAAGTTGGTGCTGTTTCTGGTCCAAGACTTTGAAAAGTGGAGATTTTGACTTCAGTGTTGCAGATTAAGGGATTTTGGATGGAGAGACAGTCTATCTTCATTCCTTCTGTCAAATTGCCATCGAATCAAGACATGAACCGTTCAAAGACCTCAAAAGGACGATTCCAACTCGATGTTATTGCTCTTGCAGTATTGAGGGACTACAATAATCACATGGTGGTGTTGACAAGAGTGATATGTTGCAATCTTTGTGCGACAGAAATAGGAAAAAAAGTGGCACCATCCCTCTTTTTTTCTTCAGTTTCGGAAATCACTCTTGTAATGTGAGAACATAAAATTCTCACGCCGTTCAGTTTATCTTCATCGCTACTGCAATCATAATTGCTGGACTGCCACGTGCGCCGCATGCATAAAAACTGGACAGACTGGTTTTTCGATCTTTGTTTCTGCTGACGACGTTTCAACCGAGTGTGTGGGGCCTTTCGGCCTCACACATCTCGTCCTCGTATTACGGAGCATCACTCACGTCTCTCTGCTATTTTTATTTTTCCCTGAGTGTGATGGGAAGATATGTTCCATTTTCTAAAAAGTGCACGATTTAGTGATAAGTATTTTGGATGGAAATTAATCTGTCGTGATGCGAGACCAAAGGTAAACCTACATCGAATGTCTGAACTGTGCAGTTCCCAATATGTGTAGACCTGTTTCGTCAACCTCGAGAGAAGCCGACCGTATGCTCAAAGAATAGAAATGTATGATAAAGAAGGGTCCTTTCGTTTAGAATACAACCACTTCACATAAAATAGTGAAATTAGAAATCAGTATTGAGCACTGTACCACCGATGTTCTTAGATTAATAAGTCGGATTCTCTATTTGCAAAATAGACGGTACTCGTGACACGCATGTTTCACATATCAGTTTTGTGTTTCTAAGATCTTCATGATGATTTTCGTATTATGTGTTATATATTAATATTCAAGAGAAGCTTTTTTTAATGAAATAAATGTGTGATTAAATGATTCTACAAGTCTCATGCATGGGGGTTATTGGGTAAGTCAACCATTTTTGTATTCCTATTATTAAATTGGCAACGCAATGTACTCCACTAATTTTCAGGCTAGCAAATTTTATGCAGACATGATTTATATTTGATACTCTTAGTATCACACCAGATTAGGAAGTCACATTTTCAACACCACATTCACATAGAGTGTATTGTGACTGGTAGAGAAACCAAAAGGTACGGGAAGAAGGTAAGCTTTCGTAGACATAATGTAAACCAGCCTCGCTCGCTTCAGGCGACTTTCGAATCGAAGTCAGTATGCACTGAAGCAAACGCGCAGGATGCTGGCGACATTCATTCTACTTGAAATGCTAGTGAAGTACGAAGCATAAATCTGCTATTTGAAAATTAGTTTTTGCTCTTATTTATATACGATTCTTTTTTTTATTTAACAGACGAATTTTTTTAACTATTTGATAAATGATTCCTATTTCTTTAATATTTCTAATATTTAATCTTTAATAATTTTCTGTATTAAATTATGCTTTCAATTCTAAATACCTGTGGTAATATATTTCCATAAATAAATTCCCAGATGTAATATTTATTGCTATTAAAAAAGTAAAAAACATCGTGAAGTGTAGCGGAAGGCAAAGAGAGCAGTAAGCCTTCGCAGTGGTCACTCTCCCACATACAGACTGCGTCCTTGACTGCTAGGTTTTGAGTGACCTCTCAGCTGGCGAAGCGTCAGAAATGCAATCAAAATTAAGACATAGGGAAAAATCACCGCAAGTTCTTATTAATAAAAGTGCAACTTAGGATTAATTTAGTGCTTCCGAAAATATTTTCGAGCTCCTCATTGTGCAAAGGAATTCGATAAAATTTTTATTCGAATTAGTGTTTTTAACTGTTTCGGAATAAGATTTAGGTTTTAAGATAGGAGCATATTTGGAACTGCTTCTAGACGTTATTTTGTTGTTATCAGGAGGAGGTTTGTCCGTTTTGTGCCTAACAATATTAGTATGATGAAAACTGATGGATTTGATGAAGTTTGATTTTTAGAAATTTTGAGCAGCCTTTCTTAAAAGTAAGACATAGAATCTGCATTGCATAAGAAAACTCAATACTGAGATACTTTCAAATGTTTCTGATTTCTTGAATAGTCTGGGTTATAATTTTAAAATAAAATGTTCCAATTCATTTTCTATTTAGTCTTTCAATGCATGCGATTATTTTATTACCTTCTCATGTCTCATGTCATGGGTTATTAACGAAATTAAAGCCTCTTAACCCTCTCGAACTTAACCCTCTCGCTGCATACTTTTTTTTTTATCAAAATAGGTTCAAAAATTGCGTATTTTTTTATTACATATTTCAAATCTACATATATTTCAGAGTTAAAATATACAAAATTTCTTTTATAAAAGAAGTTTTTTTTTTTTTCTGCATACTTTTTTTTTATCAAAATAGGTTTAAAAATTGCGTATTTTTTTATTACATATTTCAAATCTACATATATTTCAGAGTTAATATATACAAAATTTTTTTTGTAAAAGAGGTTTTTTTTTTTTCAATATAGAATTAGATCACAGAAAAAGGTTGTCAGAATACTGAAATTGAAGCATAATGATATAAAAAGAAAATTTTGAAAATTAATATTGCTTAAATTATGATTTATTTTATAAAATACAAAGGTAAAACATGTATGCTAATGAAAATATTTGCATAATGTAATATTTTGCATATCAATTTTGCACTACTGTGGAACGTTTTCAATAGAAACTGAATTTTCAGATTTATCACTATCTTCAGAGGAATCCGAGAAATTCTCATCAGTTTCACTATAACTATCTTCAATATACTTGACAGTCAGAATCAGAGTCAGAACTACTATCAGTGTCGGAAATATAGGTTATATCATTCGCGAAACGCTTCGTGCCATACATTTCTGAGCTCTGAAAAG